TCCTCGGGCTGCTCCTCCTTGGTCTCCTCAGGGTCGCGGTAGAAGAACAGGTCGACCTGCAAGTGACAATAACAGGAGGTGACAATAACAGAACGGGACAGTGCGGGGATGGGAAGACAAGAAAAAGAACACAGGATAAGCAGCAGGTAACGGGTGTAGCGGTCTCTGGTGGAACGCTTGATTACAAGAGCCGAAGCACCGCTCCGCACCCAGTTACAACCCTCCCTCAAAAACTCCAGCTGCGGCTCCTGAATCTTCCGCTGCTGCCACTGGCTGCTGCTACTACTACTGCTGCTCCTCCCATTGCTCCTCCTGCTTTTCCTCCAACTTTTACTGCTGCTGGCGCTGCTGCTGCTGCTCCTGCTGCTACTCGTACAGCTGCTAGTGGTACTGCTGCTACTGTAACTGCTTTATGGCTTGAAATAATCGGCACTCTATCGCCGCGTGCACGTGCAATCTGCCAATCTGCCAACCCCTTATCCATCCACGTCCCTCCTGCTCGCTTTGCTCTCCCCACCGAATTCCCTTCTCAGTACCCCCTCACGCGTGTTAGCTCGACCTGAAACGTCTCAGAATCGACCCCTTTGTACCCCATCGGAAGACGTGGCTACCAGGCTGCATCCTGGCCGCACATCGACAGCACCATCCAAAAACCCACGATAGTCCACAAAAATCCCTGCCAGTCCAAAACCACGCAGCAGCCAGCAAAGAAACCCACTGGATGCTTCAACCCGAGGCCCATTCCCTTCCTTCACCCTCCGCCCTTCTCAACCCGCAAATTCCCTCCCCCGTCCCCCTGGGCCCCCGAATTCCCTCTTCCGTCCCCTTCGCCCTGCGCATTCCCTCCCCCGTCCCCATCGCCCGCTGATTCCCTCTCCCTTCCCCTTCGCCCCTTCCCGATTCCCCCTCTCCCACCTCCCATTATTCCCTCCCCAAGGCGACTCACCATGACGTCCCAGGGCTGGCTGGGGAGGATGGAGCCGCGCATCTGCAGCACCATGCGCGCCAGCAGCCAGTAGAGGCACCCGATGGAGTGCTTCGCGCGGTTGTTGGCGGGGATGCCCAGGTCCACGTACCGCATCGGGCTGTCCGTATCGCAGAACGCAATAGTGGGGATGTTGGTCAGCGCCGCCTCCGCCGTGGGCTGAAAACGGGGGAGGCGGAGTTGTGGGGAGTAAGGGAGCGGGGGTGCGGGGGCGGGGTGGGAAAGAAGGGAGGGGGCGTGGGGGGGGGAAGGGGCCCGGGAGGGAAGAAGGGGGGGGGAGGGGATAGAAATGGTGGGGAAAATGGAGGGTGAGGGGAGATCCCGAGGTCCACGAACCGCATTGGGCTATCCGTATCGTGGAGCGAAATAGTGGGGATTTTAGTCAGCGCCACCTCAGCCGTGGGCTACTGGGCGAAATCGAAGAATTTGAAGTAAGCGAGAAAGTTGGGGCGGGGAATGAGGGGAGGGACGGGATGGGGGGCGGGGGGGGGGGGGAGGGAGAAGAAGGGGATCGGGGGCGGGTGGTAGAGAAAGAAGGGGGGTGATTGGTTAAGGGGAGAATGATTTTTATGCGCCTCAAAACAAGAGAAAGCGGGGCGTGGGTGGAGAGAATAAAGAAGAGGTGGGAGGGAAGGGACAAAGGTGGGTGAGGAGGAAGGGCAGAGGCGGCGCATCAAGGAGAGCGAGGAAAGGGAAAAAGTGGGACAAGTGTAAAGGAGAAGCGAAGAAGGGGACGGGACACAAACATAGAATTTGGGCAGGGGAGGGGGAGGGATCGGCGAGACTTCTCAAGTACGCGGGTCCACGTAGTCAACGAGGCTAACACGTTCAACGCGGTCAACGAGGCCAACGCGGTCAACGGCGTACCTGGTGGTCAACGCGCGGGTCAGTGAGGACGAGCATGCGCGGCTCGCTGAAGTTGTTCTGCAGCTGGTTGGTGAAGGTTCCGGGCGTGTGGCGGCCCGCGATGGCGTTGGCGCCCGTGTACTGCGCGAACTTGAGCACCGCGCGCTGCCCGTACGGCCGCGCCGACTGCACGCAAATGTCCTGCGGGTTCTCGATCGCGACAATCACGCGCGCCGCCATCTGCAGCTTGTCCCACGTCTTGGCGAGGTTGATGATGAACACACCTGGCCAATGGGGGGGGGGGGAGGGGGGGGGAAGGGGAGGATACAATGGTGATTGGAGACAGAGAGGAGAGAAGATGAAGGGGACGCAAAACACACGCAGAACCATCTGCAGCTTGTCCCCCGTCTTGGCGAGGTTGAAGATGATCACACCTGGCCATGGGGGAGCGGGAAGGGGAAGGAAGCGGGGGTGTGGGGGATGGGGGGGGGAGGGAGGGAGGTGGGAGAATGAAGCGGTGTTTGAAAACCATCTGCAGCGTGTCCCCCGTCTTGGCCAGGTTAATAATAAACACGCCTGACCATGGGCGGCCGGCAGGGGACCGGCGGCATGGAACGGGCGGCGGGGATCATGCAATGGCGATTTAGAGGCAGCGGGAGAAGGCGAAGTGGGAAAGAGGAAACGAGGGCCACGTCACATCATCGGCAATTCTGGGAGATGCGCGGAAGCCGGCGAGGCAAAGTTTCGAGGACAGTAAATATACCGCTTCGAAATGCTCTAAACTCGATTCTGGGCAGGCTTGACGTGGTCAGAGACTCGAATTATTAATGCTCCGGAAAAAATAGCAGCTCCTTTCTCGAGACAAGAATCCGAGTCGGCCTGGGGTTTACTACGCCTGATGAAAAGCCATTCCCCAAGTCCATCCGGCCGTCAACCAAACAACTCTCTAGGCTAATTCCATCGCGAAAAAAAAAAACACGCAATAGAATCTGCTCAACCTCCCGCCACTGCGATATCCACCCCACGATATCCTCCTGCAACTTCGTGCCACGACCACGATCTCTTGCGACGACCCATTGCGACCCTCGCAGTGGCGAATCCGTGTCTGTCGCAGACAGCTAACCGGGGAAACTCGCACGTCTGCTCCGTCGTAGGCACCTCGACATTTGGGCAGCATGCAACGTGTAGAATAGGTCAAGTCAAGTAAGCTACCATCGACACCCTCCCACAGCGCCCCATTTCCCGCACAAGTCTCCCACCCGTATCCCTGCTCTTCCTAGTCTCTCAGCTCGCTCGCTGATCCCAAGCAGGTCACGAAACTATTAGTATCTGATCAATCGTCCTAGGATCGTCCACGCCCCTGCGACAGCGACAGCATCCGCATGCACGACAAGCTAACCCGCGTCTGCTGCGCTTAAATTAATCTTTCTACTTCCACGAACCTCGGAACCGAGATCCCACTCCAAACCCTAACGCGCGTTTCCGGTCAGTAATGCCGCGATCGCGAACCCACGCCGGCGCGCTAACACGGCGAGGAGCACACCAGTGTCACGAACCGGACTGCACGCCGCTAAGATCACAAAAACACGGCGGACGTACCGTCCGCGCCGCGCTTCCAGACGTAGCGCTCCATCTGGTAGTTGCAGTTCTTGGTGCCCAGGTGCACCTTCGCCGCGAGCATCATCTGGATATCCGCCTCCCTCTGTGACAGCGCCATGGCTGCACGCTTCGCGCTACGGCTAGGGAAAGAGTGAAGGGAGCAAGGGAGGGGGAAAGATCTCCTTAGCAGGAAGAGAGGAAAATTTAGGAGTGAATGGGAGCTAAGAGGTAGTGGGGGTGGCAGGGAGAGAGAGGGGAGGGAGGAGGAGGCGTGGTGATGAGGTCAAAACGAGGGGCGAGGATGGAGGACATCTGGGGGAGGAGTTGGGGGAACAGTAGTGGGGAAATGGGGGAATTGGGGGATGGCGGAATGGGGAACAGTTGACAGATACACCAAATTGGCCGAAGGACTCCTGCGAGGAAAATTGGGCTTCGCTAATCTGCCTGATTGACAACTTCGGGGGCTGACTGTCCATTGCTTTTGCTGGACATGCTGAACTGGTGTACTCATGTGGCATGACAAAAACAAAATAGTTCAAATTAATGATGGTGAAAGTAGAGCCGTAAGTTACGGGATCATCCATCGTAATATCCTTGTTTATTGTAAAATCTAATTCCATTTTACGCAGAATCGCTAGACTTTGTAGCTTATTACTTCAATGCTTGAGCAAATATGTGAGAGATATGGAACACAATCTCCAATATGTGAGATGTTACAACAAATGCTTTTCCAGGATTTGGGATCTGGAGTGTGCAGGGTAGGGTGTCTGACAGGAGAGTATTTCAAATCCACACCACACGTTTGGAGACACCGAGATCAGGCGATGGATTCTGGTCCGAGTCGCGCAAACAAGCTCCCAGTCTAGTTATAGCTGTGTCCATGCAGGAAATGGTCATAACTAGGAGCCTATTTACAGCAATCAGTGAGGCTGAAGACAAAAACTTGTCATTCTCAGCTTGGAGCGAAACCTTTTTAGAAGCGAGTGCAGTGTCGCAGCAACAGCTTCAAATCATGTGAGCTGATACAACTTCAGCAAATCACCATATGAGAGCATTACGAATCTGGACGCCAACATCCTTGGGTCTGTGAAGGCGTTAGCTTAAAAGCACACACGAGCTTTCTCGCAGTGCCGGTTGCTCCTGACTTGGCGCTTTCTTGGTTCGCTTCAACGAACGGTCGATCAATGCCAGTTGAGCTGATCTTCTCCAACAGGTGTCAGCCTCACACCACGTATTCCCGAGTCCAGTGGACACACGAACGTCGGTCCTTGCCGCTCTCGCGATAGCTGCTAGTGAACGCGCCTTATCGCGTACGACGGGCTACTAGTATCAACACACGCTCACTGCATTAGCTGGGCAGTCAGCAAGGACACAGGAGGACGACACCTTTGCAACAATATGGCAACCTAATTACAATCGTTTTCCTAGTTTTGAGTCGACTTAAAACCTAATTACAATCGTTTTCCTACATCATAGCCGTTCCCATATGGTGACGCCATTGACCAAGTCCACGGGAAGCTCGAGCCGCCAATGGCATTGCAGCTGGCGATTAGGGACGCGGCGCGGGATCATGACACTATGCCTCCTAAGCGTGCTTTTATTGCTGCTAGTAATCACCGTGGAATACGGCGACGACGAAGACGATGACGGCGGGGACACGCGATCGTCGCGGACGCGCATTACCGGCAGCTATGATGACCTGGACGACGTGACACGTGGCAGCGGGGGGTTGGACGACTTCTGGGGGCTGGGTCAGCAGGGGCAGGGCCGATACTGCCGGGAGCGAGGCCAGCTGGCGGTGTGCCGGCCGCCCGACGCTGTTATTATAGCGGAGGTAAGCGGAGATGCGACTCGTAGCAGAATGCTGCCGCCTGACGCTCTGCTCCGCGCCTGCTCGGCTCCGCGCCTGCTCGGTTCCGCCCTGCTGCCAGCAGCCAACCTCACAACGCTCGCCCTCTGGGTCCGTGATGCCATTTTGTCTCCCCCCACTCCCGTTCACCTCCCTTTCCAACCGTTTCCCCCTTTCCCCCCTTTTCCCCCTTTTACCCCCCTTGTCCCCTCCTTCCCCCCCTCCTCCCTCCGTGCTTCCAGGGCGATTTGGGCTCGCGTCTATCATCCGTCTGTTCCGCGGCCGCCCTGCTGCCAGCAGCCAACCTCACGACGCTCGCCCTCTGGGTGCCCGATGCCTTCATGCCGCACATCCGCTTCTCCGACCTCTTCACCCTAGCTGCCGCTGCCGCTGCTGCCGCTGGTAACCCCGCTCCTCCTCCGGATGTGGAAGGGCGGGCCTTGCGCGCTGTTGCTGGGGAGGGCGGGGAGGGACTAAGCAGTGGTGGTAGGGAGGAGTCAAGAGGGGGTACGGACCTTGGGAATGTCACAGAGGGAGGAACAGGAGCCAACAGCAGCAGCAGCGGAGGCAGGGGCGGCAGCGGCGGAAGCAGTAGCAGTGGTGGTGATGGCGGTGGCAGCAAGGGTAGTGGTGCAGGGCGGTTTGTGTGGGTGGAGGAGGCGAACGAGACAGCTGCTCACTGGCGCCAGTTCCTCGCACTCACCCACCGACCGGTAAGAAACGAGCAGCCTCTCTCTCGTTTCCATCCATGCATCTGTGTCATGCTAGGAGCTTTTCAGGCACCTCAAAAGTTCCTCGCACCCACCCACCGACCTGTAAGAAAGGAGAGGCCTCTCGTTTCCATGCATGCATCTGTGCGTGTGCTGGCAGCTCGCAAGTGCGGCCGTTTATTGCTACGCTGTGCGTCTTAGTACTCCCCCTATTCACGCCCTTTCTCTAAGCGCCCGCTCCATCCCTTTCTCCAGGCTCCACGCCCTCCCTCCCCCACTGCACCTGTGCCCACCTGCCCACCTGCCCGCCTGGCCGCCTGCCCGCCTTCAACCCCCCCACCCCTCTTCCCCCATGCCCATCCGCCTCCTCTCCCCTCCGCACCCATGGCAGGTGACCATCCGCTGGTGTCAGAAGCGGGGCGCCTGTCAGGAGGACGGCACTGTTGCCACAAGCACTGAGCGCCCTTCAGACCTCCCAACCCGCCTGCCTCCTCTCTCCCCCCTTCCCTTCCCTCCTGGCCCGCTCGCCTCCTCTCCCCTCCGCACCCATGGCAGGTGACCATCCGCGGGTGTCAGAAGCGGGGCGCCTCTCAGGATGCCACTGTTGCCACATGCAGTGTGCGCTTTCAGACCTTCTCCCCACCTCCCCCCTCCCCTCTCCGCCCGCCTCCTCTCCCTCTCCCGGTCGCCCTCACATGGCAGGTGACCATCCGCGGGTGTCAGAAGCGGGGCGCCTCTCAGGATGCCGCTGTTGCCTCGCTCACGCTCAGCCTCTACCTCTCGCCCGCCTCCATCAACTGGCTCGTGGTGCGTGCTGTGTGTGGGTGAGTTCAGAGAGGGGTGCAAAGGGGTATGTTGTGGTGCTCCCACTGCCAGTCCCTCACGCTCAGCCTCTACCTCTCGCCCGCCTCCATCAACTGGCTCGTGGTGCGTGCTGTGGGTGGGTTCGGTGAGGAGGGTGCATGAGGGTGCATGAGGGTGCATGAGGGTGCAGGTGGGTTGGAAGCGCCAGTCAAGTCCCTCACGCTCACGCTCAGCCTGTACCACTCACCCGCCTCCATCAACTGGCTTGCGGTGCGTGCTGTGAGTGAGTGTGTGCATGCGTTCGTGCGATGCAGGGTGTGCTGCGGGCCCAGCCAGAGCCAGTAACTCTCGTATGCTCTCTCAAGTTATGAGTCAACTCAAGACTAGCCAGTGCCAGGCCAGTAGCTCAACCCCTCCCTTTTCCCACTCTCCTTGTGAATTCTGATAGACCACTTCCCACCACCCACTCTCCCTCCCCACTCCCGACTCCTCACTCCCCACTCCTCCTCACTCTCCCCCACTCCCTTCCGCCTCCCCCACTCCCTTCCGCCTCCCCCACCACCCTCCCACCTGTGCGCACAGGACAGCGTTTGAGCGGCTCATGGGAGCATGCATGACAGCACTCCACCTACATGCAGTCCCTCCTACTCCTCTCCACCACTCACAACCCCACTGTGCAGGACGCAGTGAACCCGCGTGCATTCGAGCGCCGAATGGCAGCGTGCATGGCAGCGTGCATGGCAGCGCTGCAGCCCGCCCCGCCTGTAGCGGCACTGCTGCTGCACTCCCCCCCACATCCCTCCCCACTCTGACACTCACCACTCTCACACTCCCCACCCCCCCTTTCCTCCAACCCGTGCGACACACAGGATGCAGTGAACCCGTGTGCATTTGAGCGCCGCCTGACGGCATGCATGGCAGCGCTGCATCCCTCCCCGCCGGTGGCCGAGCTGCTGCTGCAGGAAGATGTCGGTCGTCTCAAGTCCGCCCTTGGCCTCTACCTTGATGTGAGTGCCCTTTCACTTAGGACAGAAGCAAATGTTAGTTTGTTTTTTAGTCGACTCACAAATATAGACCCATCACATGGGGATGTTGATTTTTCTGACCTGCTCACTCTACCTCACGTGACTGTCGCTTCCTCTCTTTCCATGCCTGCATCATCACCGTCTGTCTATCTACACCTTTGCCCCTCTCCCTCCCTCGGCTCGGCCCTCCCGCCCTCCTTCGGCCCACCCTCCCACCCGCCCATAACCCCCCCCAGGATCTTTCGCCAGACAGCTATCCCGGCTGCCCCATATCCGCTTCTCCTCTCTTCACCCTTCTCTGTGCCATTCATCGCCTCCCCATGTCCTTCTCAAGCGCCCTTCCCTCCACTCCACTCCGCCCTCCCTTCACTCCACCCTCGCTCCTCAAGTCGCGTCAGAATCTGGGGTTGTGCAATTGCCATCTCTGTGTTTTGAGTCGACTCAAAAAGCAATCGCCGTCTCTCTGTTTTGAGTCGACTCAAAACGCAATCGCCATCTCTCTCCCTCACCCTCCTTCCCTCCCCCTGCCCTCTCACCCTCGGCCCTCCCACCCGCCCCTCAGGACCTCTCTCTAGATGGCTGTCCCGGCTGCCCCATATCCACCACCTCCTCTCCCCACCTCTGCGCCACGCGCCGCCTCGCCATGTCCTTCCTCAAGCGCCCCTCGCTAGATTTCGCCCTCGCCGCCCGCACCGCCCTCAACGCCGCCCGGATTTCCGACGCCTTCCACCCGTCCCGCGCGCCGTTTGTGCTCCGAGCCACCCAATCACGCGCTGCCACGTGCCCCAAGGGGGAGAGGGCGGATTTGGGGAAAGGCGGGGTGGAGGAGTGGAGGAAGGGAGGTGGAGGGGGGGTAGGGGGAGGAGGGAAAGAAGGAGGAGAAGGTGGGAGGAGAGGATTGGATGGGGATGGTGCTGCTGGCGGGGATAATGGAGGGGGCATTGTAATGGGAGGGAATGGGACGGAATGGGGGAATGGGACAGAGGTGCGGCAGCTGCTCATGAAGCAGAACCTTTCACCTGATGACCTCATGCTGTGTGTTCGGCTGCAGGTGTGTGTGTGTGAGTGGGTGGGTGGGTGGTGGTGGGTGGGTGGGTGGGTGGGTGGGTGGGTGGGTGGGTGGGTGGGTGGGTGGGTGGGTGGGTGGGTGGGTGGGTGGGTGGGTGGGTGGGTGGGTGGGTGGGTGGGTGGGTGGGTGGGTGGGTGGGTGGGTGGGTGGGTGGGTGGGTGGGTGGGTGGGTGGGTGGGTGGGTGGGTGGGTGGGTGGGTGGGTGGGTGGGTGGGTGGGTGGGTGGGTGGGTGGGTGGGTGGGTGGGTGGGTGGGGTGGGTGGGTGGGTGGGGTGGGTGGGTGGGTGGGTGGGTGGGTGGGTGGGTGGGTGGGTGGGTGGGTGGGTGGGTGGGTGGGTGGGTGGGTGGGTGGGTGGGTGGGTGGGTGGGTGGGTGGGTGGGTGGGTGGGTGGGTGGGTGGGTGGGTGGGTGGGGTGGGTGGGTGGGTGGGTGGGTGGGTGGGTGGGTGGGTGGGTGGGTGGGTGGGTGGGTGGGTGGGTGGGTGGGTGGGTGGGTGGGTGGGTGGGTGGGTGGGTGGGTGGGTGGGTGGGTGGGTGGGTGGGTGGGTGGGGTGGGTGGGTGGGTGGGTGGGTGGGTGGGTGGGTGGGTGGGTGGGTGGGTGGTGGGTGGGTGGGTGGGTGGGTGGGTGGTGGGTGGGTGGGGTGGGTGGGTGGGTGGGTGGGTGGGTGGGTGGGTGGGTGGGTGGGTGGGTGGGTGGGTGGGTGGGTGGGTGGGTGGGTGGGTGGGTGGGTGGGTGGGTGGGTGGGTGGGGTGGGTGGGTGGGTGGGTGGGTGGGTGGGTGGGTGGGTGGGTGGGTGGGTGGGTGGGTGGGTGGGTGGGTGGGTGGGTGGGTGGGTGGGTGGGTGGGTGCGTTGTGGAGTGAGGACATGGGAAACATGGCCGGTCTCGCCCCTCAAACAGCATCCTCACTCTGCCTGCCTACTTTCCCCCCACCTCCCTTCCCCCCATCTCAGGTAGTGGAGCTGTTTGCACTGAGCATGACCCGAGGGCTCATATCCCTCAAGGCCGGCCTGGCCTCGCGACAAGCCATGTTCATCGCGCTCACGAAAGTGTGTTTGAGCCACCTGGATTGAGCCACTTGGCGAACAGCATCCTTACTCTGCCCGGCCCCTTCCCACCACCCCTCCCCGTCACATCACAGGCCGTGGAGCTGTTTGCACTCAGCATGACCCGTGGACTCATCTCCCTGAAAGGCGGCCTGGCCTCGCCACAAGCCATGTTCATTGCCGCCCATGGCGCCACCCGCTCCGACATCTTCCGCGTGCAGCGCCCCGTCTGTGACTCGCCGCCCCTGCTGCCGCTCACCCAGCAGAAGCTGGCTCGCTTCACCATCATCGAAGGTAGGGTAGAAATATGAAAAGCTAATCCTCAGTTCCCAGTCCCCAGTCCCTGGAGTCGAGACCCTGCTGCTTCTCATACAGAGCAGCAACCGGTGCCGCCCGCTCCGACCTGTTCCGCGTGCAGCGGCCCGTCTGTGACTCGCCGCCCCTGCTGCCGCTCACCCAGCAGAAACTCGCTCGCTTCACCATCATCTAAGGTAAGAGACACAAATGGCTAGTGCCTAAGCGCAAAGCCCTATGCCTTAAACCCAAGATGCTTGACTCGCCACCCTTGCTGCCCCTCACACAGCAGAAGCTCGCTCGATTCACCATCATCGAAGGTAAGAGACGCGCAAATGGCTAGACCTAAACGTAAAGCCCTATGCCTTCAACCCAAGATGCTTGACTCGCCGCCCTTGCTGCCCCTCACACAGCAGAAGCTCGCTCGATTCACCATCATCGAAGGTAAGAGACACGCAAATGGCTAGCACCTAAACGCAAAGCCCTATGCCTTAAACCCTAGGTGCTTGACTCGCCGCCCCTACTGCCACTCACCCAGCAGAAGCTCGCTCGATTCACCATCATCGAAGGTATGAGGCACTAATGGCTAGCCCCTAAGCCCTAGACCCACCTCCCTAGAAACTGGCTCGCTTCACCATCACCGAAGGTGAGAGGCACTGAAGTCTAGTCCCTAGTCTCTAGACTCTAGATTCTAGACCCTTGACCTGGCCCCTGCTGCCGCTCACCCACCCATCTATTCACCCATCCACTCTCAGAGTCCCTGAAGGCTGAAGCTGGTGTGCTGCTGTACTTCGCCATTGCCAAGGTGGCCTGCAACTCGTGGCTCATGTGGCTGCAGCGATGCTCCATTGTATCCCCGCCCCCCTCCCCACCCACACCCCCTGCCCCACTCAGAGTCCCTGAAGCTGCTGTACCGCGCCGTTGCCAAGGTGGCCTGCAACTCCTGGCTCATGTGCCTGAGGGGGCGCCTGCGGCTGCCCTCTGCATCCCCCCACCCATCCTCATACCTCATTCCCCACTCCCATTCCACCCACCCACTCTCAGAGTCCCTGAAGCTCGTGTACTGCGCCATTCCCAAGGTGGCCTGCAACTCGTGGCTCATGTGGCTCAGGGCGCGCCTGGGCCTGCCCAACCATCCCCACGTCTCATTCCCCCCTCCCCATTCCTTCCCCCCTTTCCAACAGAGTCCCTGAAGCTAGTGTACTGCGCCATCCCCAAGGTGGCATGCAACTCGTGGCTCATGTGGCTCAGGGCGCGCCTGGGGCTGCCCAACCCAGAGGACCCGCTGCTGGCGCTCAACGAGAAGGAGTGGGGGCTGCACGAGCTGGCTTTGGACTTTACAGAAGAACAGGCAGTGAGTGGGGCGGGTTGTAGTGGTGAGGCAATGGGGGGATGGGTTGTTGAGCGCCTGGGGCTGCCCAACCCAGAGGACCCGCTGCTGGCGCTCAACGAGAAGGAGTGGGGGCTGCACGAGCTGGCTTTGGACTTCACCGAAGAACAGGCGGTGAGTGCTGGCTGTAGTGGTGGTGGGTGGAGTGGGAGTGAGAGTAAGGGAGCGGTGAGGCAGTGAGGCACCTTACTAGCGACCCGCTGCTGGCTCTCAACGAGAAGGAGTGGGGACTGCACGAGCTGGCTTTGGACTTTACTAGAGGTGCTGAAGCCGTGAGGGCTGCACAAGCTGGCAGACACGACTCATGATGCATCCGTGCAAGCAGTTTGAGACGTCTCAAAACAAGCTGGCAGACACGACTCATGATGCATCCGTGCAAGCAGTTTTGAGACGTCTCAAAACAAGCTGGCAGACACGACTCATGATGCATCCGTGCAAGCAGTTTTGAGACGTCTCAAAACAAGCTGGCAGACACGACTCATGATGCATCCGTGCAAGCAGTTTTGAGACGTCTCAAAACAAGCTGGCAGACACGACTCATGATGCATCCGTGCAAGCAGTTTTGAGACGTCTCAAAACAAGCTGGCAGACACGACTCATGATGCATCCGTGCAAGCAGTGCTTCTCTAAGTCAGGGCTGCACAAGCTGTTAAGTGAAGGAACTCTTCAGGTGCACCTTTGTGGGCAGGACAGCCCCTTCTCTACTGTCGAAGTTACTTCTGAGTCGCCTCAAGCGTTGCCTCCATCCCTCTCCCCTTTCCTCCATTCCAGATATGGCTCATGACCCACCCAGACTTCTTTAACTTCACATTTGTGCTGCCCGATCTAACCCCTTCTCAACCATTGAGCTGCCCGATCGACTTAGAAGCCATCTCCGTTCCTCTTTCCCTTCCCTCTGCCCTGTCCCGATTTCCACCCTTTGGTCAGGTCAGGTCCGTCTCATTACCCATCCGGACTTCTTCAAGTTCACCTTTGTGGGCAACCCCTTCTCAACCATTCAGCTGCCATTTGAGTCGACTCAAAGTCAACCCCATCCCTCTTTCCCCCCTCTCCTCCCAGATTCGGCTCAAGACCCGCCCCGACTTCTTCAAGATCTCATTCGTGGGCAACCCCTTCTCAACCATCTCTCTCTCCCATCCCGCATCCCTCTCCTTCATCGCCCCTCACAGATTCGTCTCATGACGCGTCTGGACTTCTTCAAGTTCTCATTCGTGCGCAACCCCTTCTCCCGCATTGCCTCGGCCTACTCCAACAAGCTCGTGCGCACCGACCGACCCAAGCTCAAGACCGGCACCGGCTGGGGCACCCGCCAGTACTGGAGCAACGTGAGTGGCAGTATTGGAGCAACGTGAGTGGTGATCGTACCACCGTGTGCCTTGCTGCTGGTGTGCTCTTGTTGGCTCTGTCTGCTGGCATGTGTTTGTGTTTGTGTTCACTTTTGAGCCGCCTCAATATGTGTTGCACTCGCCGGTACGGAAAGCCCATGTACGAAGCAGTCAAGGACAGCCAATGGCCCGTCTCCTTCCTGTCCTCACTCTGCCCGTGACTGTTCTTCCTCCTCCCACCACAAGCGTTCTTCGACCCAGTGAAGCCCATGTACGGGGCAGTCAAGGGCAGCCAAGTCAATGGGTCTGTGCTCTCATCTGCTGCTTCCTACTTCTGAGATCTGCCGTCGCCCTACGCCCCCCTCCACTCCCACCACAGGCCTTCTTCCGTGCTGTGAAGCCGATGTACGAGGCCGTCAAGGACAGCCACATGAAGGGGTGTGTGCCCTCATGGGCTGCTTCTTACTCTAAAAATATGTCTTCCCCCTAGACTCCCAACCACAGGTCTTCTTCCACGCTGTGAAGCCAATGTACGAGGCAGTCAAGGACAGCACAGGGCTCGTCTCCTTCCCCGACTTTGTCCGCCTCGTTGGCAAGCTGCTGGCCAGTCACCGCGCTGACATGGACCGCCACCTGGCGCCGCAGGAGGACATCTGTGCGTTGGGCTCCATAAAGTACGACTTTGTGGGGCGATTCGAGCGCCTGGAGGAGGATGTTAAGACGGTGGTCGACAGATTCGGTGGCGAGCACCTGGACGTGTTCAGGTTCGGCAAGGGAGCGCACTTCACGGATACGGACCGGCGGCTGACGAAGCTGTATGACAAGGTGTGTGTTCACTTATTATGTTTCTACCCTCACTCTTGCCCTTCCTTGCCCTGAGGCTTTTCTTAGCTCTCCCAACTCACTTCGATCTCCCTCTCCCTCTCTTCCATCCATTTCCTGTTTGTTGCACTACAGGATACATACGAGAGGGTGAAGAAGATATATGCTATGGATTTTTATATTGCCATGAACAACATCACTCATGAAACTCCAAGATCATTGTATGAGATGTACGAGAACGACTTCTGAAGGGAACCAATTCATTAAATTTGTTGAACTCTTGTTTATTGCATGTGTAGTGTGCATTTTATATTTCACTTATGAATTGTCGCTCAGTGCACAGTTCATTACACCACCTCCAGTCAGCGGCATCCTCGTGCTGTACTGGGCAGTTCTGTATGGGATGCATGATGCTGGGAGAGAGCGGTTCAGAATGACGTGGATCCGACGCAAAGTTGCTCGGCGGCGCATCATTCGCACCTGTGATTGGTTCAACGATCAAATTACATATCGATTGGGATTTGAAAAGGCAATTTGAAAGGGTGGGCAGGTTTGAAAAGTGGTTTCGCGAATCGGCTTCGAGGACGAAGGCAACGGAGAGGGGGTTTTCGAATGAATCCAAGGGGTTTTTGCACGACGAATTTGTCCATGCAGAGAATTGGCAGCAATGTATGCTCCCTCCCGCCCAGACCAGACCGTCTTTGGTCAGGTTGTTCCAGGGCGCTATGTTCCGAAGGGCCATCTTTTCTATCAGCACAATGCTCTCGAGGCTGTCTGTTTTACTGGCACGATGTTTCTAAGGGTGCATTCCTGTGGGGACACTTGTGTCTCAATCACTTTGTGACACCCAAAAACAACATAAACTGTGTTGTGTCCCAAATGCGAATCGGCTTTCGGCGACTTGTACTGTATTTATTATTGGTCAGCGTGAAACGCGCTGACATCGCTGTCGAATTGTGAAACGACCCGTCATCGTTAAAGAATCGCACGCGACTCGAAATGCCCGACACGACCACATGCACCTGGACATCCGAAAATGCCAATTTTGCGAGGGAAAAGATCCCGCGCATCGAAACCACGCCCCTGCTCGGAGGTTGAAAATACGGGTGTACTGTCACCCAGTCAAATGCACACACCTGTACATCTCTTTTTGATCCCCGCCAGTGAAACGTGTCCAACTGAACCTGCCAATATGTCGCCCTACATCGCGGTACATTCGATGTTTGTGACACAACATTGGGAAAACTTTCAGGCGCGACTCGGGAAAACGGGGATTGAGACACAAGTGTCCCCACAGGAATGCACCCTAAGGCTCTGTTTCTCAAGGCTGGATGTTCCCAAGGCTAGCTGGATGGGCCCAAAGGGAGAAAAGAGGGACAACTGACAGTCCAGGCTGGTGCTGTAATGTTGGGATTAGATCGTGAAACTGGGATGGCAGGCGATTAGGTTCCTGCACAAAACCATGGAACCTCCAAAAAAATATCAATGAGCATAAGAGTTAGCAGAGTGCGGCGACGGTAATAATTCCGGCGAGTCTGCCACGCCGCAGTGTTGCGAGATCAGGGATTTCAAACTCCGCAACCGTACCCTCAGGCGAATATACGTGTTCCAATACTATCAGGCCGCCCCACGTGTCGCTTCCAGTAACCATCGCGTTGCTCCTACCTCTAGGCGCTGGCCCTCGCACTGCTGCTTCTCGGTGCGCTGCGGTGCACCTTCGGCCTTTCCCTCTTTCCTCCCTAAGCGTTATCCTGGTTAGAATAGCCTGGATGAAAGTGAGCGCCAAAAGAAACCTGCGCCCTAAGAAACCTGCTTCTTAATATGTTTAAAAGGCTCGCAAGACTCTGTTCCTCCTCCTTCCATCAAACTCTTTCGTAAAAGGATTTTATTGTTGCGTAATCTGAGTTCGGGTCTTCCTTTCAGTTCTTTATCCATGACCTCCGATAAGGGACAATGATAATTCGGCGGTCGTGACACGTGAGATATAAATATCGTGCATGGGCCCATTCTTCTGCCAGTTTGAGAATAAGATACTACAACATTAGAGCATCGAGACATTACAATGTCATCATGACATGTGACATTATGGCATGGTACCTTGCTCAGCATCTGCCCAGGCTTCTCATTCCAGTCCCGAGCCAGTGGCATTCTATTGCAGATTACTGTACACCTTTAGAATAGATGCACATTCTCTTTCAGCTTTAGCAATCGCTAAACACGAGGAGGGTTCCGTTTCGCCGCATAGTTATAGGTTAGGCGAGAGTTACGGCATTTATATGGCGAGCCATATCGCACAAAAGACTGACGGCATGAGCCGGTGCGTGTCATAAGCTATCCTTTACCAAACCCTGAACGTCAACCACAAATTTCAAACGCCAATCGCCGAACGCCGATTTTCGACCGCCAAGCCCCCAGCGTCAAGCATCAAACTCCAAGCGCCAATCCATGTCTGCGAAGCCGCCAAGTGCCGCTGCTGCAGCCGCCGCCGCCGCTGCTGCTGCAGCGCTTGGCGCGGGCGCGTCAGTGGAAGGCCTCCCCACGTCCCCCGCCGGATACCCCCCAGCTGCTCCCGCCACGTCTCCCGCTGCAAAAACCAAAACACCTCCACCACCACCACCACCACCACCACCACTAGCAGCAACACCAGCAACAGCAGCAGCAGCACCCGCAGCAGCAGCAGCAGCAGGGAAAAAATCTGGCGGTGGGGGTGCAGCAGTAGCAGGAACCGGCGGTGGTGGTTCCCCTCCATCGGCTTCCGCCCCTGCTGCCACGTCTCCTGCTGCCGCAGCCACAGAGCCCATGGCCGTTACGGACCCTTCCCCTGCTGCAACCCCTGCGCCCACTGCTAGCGCTGGTGGTGGTGGTGGTGCTGCTGCTGCTGCTGCTGCTGCTGCTGCTTCTGCTGCTGCTGGTGTTGGTGCTGCGGCCAGTGCTCCTACCGGTGCCACGGCCGTGCTATCTCCATCCACGTCAGCGTGCACGAAGCCTGCCACGTCATCATCGCTGTCATCCGCACAGCAGGCGCCGTCTGAGGGGAGGAAGATATCCTGCGAGGACATTCAGCTGGTAGGGCTTGCAACCGGTGGGATTATAACGAGGATATCCCATGAGTTCACTTGAGCTGGTTGGGAAATGTGCGAGGTTATACTGTCGCTGCTGTTGGTTGGCAGGTGTAAAAACTGAACGAGCTCTGGTTGCACCCGTGCGTGAATGAATTATCCCCTTTCCTGCTGCTGCTGTTGGCAGCTGCAGAACCTGATTGAGCTGTCTGTACATGAGTCACCCCTCTGCTAAGCCCATTCCGCCCCATCCTCTTCTTGATACATATCCCATGTTGCTGTTGGCAGGGGTGGCAGCTGCAGAATCTGATCGAAAGAGGCTTACAGCTGTACATGAGTCACCCCTCTCCGCCTCATTGTGCATTCTGATCGGTATCCCATGTTGCTGGGTGCATTGTTGGCACGAGTGGCATGGCAGGTGCAGAACCTGATCGAGCGGTGCTTGCAGCTGTACATGAGTGAGAGGGAGGTGGTGTCAACGTTGCAGTTCCAGGCCAAGATTGAACCCGGCTTCACCAAACTCGGTCCGTGCTTCTCGCTGCCTCACTCTCTCTCTCTCTCTCACTCACTCACTCACTGTTTCTCACCTACTGACCTACTGACTGACTGACTGACTGACTGACTGACTGACTGACTGACTGACTGACTGACTGACTGACTGACTGACTGACTGGCTGGCTGACTGACTGACTGACTGACTGACTGACTGACTGACTGACGGGCTATTTGACTGGCTAAGTGAGTGAGTGACAGGCTAAGTGATGGACTGATTGACTGACTGACAGACGGACGGACGGACGTATGGACGGACGGACTGCTGCTGACTGTCTGACAGTATGGCTGCCCTGCTGCTGATCGCATCCTTTTGTTGCTGAAATCAAGAGAATGTAATGAGCATTTCTTGCTTTGCTCCCAGGGCTACCCATTTGCGTACTTGCTTTGCTTTCCTTTGTGGGCTTCGATTCTCTCCCATCCATCCCACATCCTGAAACCCCGAACCCCGTATTTCTTCCATCCGTGCTTTCATCCGCCTCACTGCGCGCTCCTTCTGACGAATCTCACCTTCCTTCCTTTCCTCTGCGCCCATCCAGTTACCACCCGTTGTTCTCCACCCCTCCCCACCCGCCTCCACCACTCTCCATCCCTTTCCACCCCTCTCCTCAACCACTCTCCACCCCTCTCCACTGCAGTGTGGCAGAAGCTGGAGGAGCAGAATCCGGACTTCTTCCGTTCCTACCACATGCGACTGCGCCTCAAGGACCAGATCCACCAGTTCAGCACACTCCACCCTGTTACCACCCCGTGTTCTCCATCCCTCTGCACCCCTCTCCACCCCTCTCACCGCAGTGTGGCAGAAGCTAGAAGAACAGAATCCGGACTTCTTCCGTTCGTACCACATGCGCCTGCGACTCAAGGACCAGATCCACCAGTTCAACTCCCTGCTTGAACAGCACGCCCACGCCGTGCGCGCCCAACGCCTCCACCGCTCCGCATCGCACTCCACCCCTGGGGCGGCAGCTTCTGCGGCTGCTACAGCTGGGGCGGCAGCGTCTGGTGCTTCTGCTTCTGCTGCTGCTGCTGCTGCTACAGGCGCTGCTGCTGGCACTGGTGCCACGGGTGCCGCTGCTGGTGGTGCGACTGCCGGTGCTGCTGCTGCTGCTTCGGCGACCCCAGCTCCCTCGCCAGCCCATGCTGCATCGAGCGCAGCTGCTGCTTCTGGAGCGCCTGTGCCTGGTGTCCCTGCGTCCATGCGAGGCCCCCCTAGTGAGTGTGGGAGGAGAGGAGAGTGAGGGTGGAGAGGAAGTGTGGGGCGGAAAAGAGTGTGGTTGGGAGGGGTCTGAGGTGGAGGTGAGTGTGTGTGGGAGGGTTGCGAGAGGGAGAGACGTTGAATGGTACGAAGATGTGGGTGATGGGTGAAGGATGAAGAAGGAGCATGGGGTGTAGGAAGGTGAACGCGATTGGGTTTAGGGTAATCACTCCTCGTCATCTGCCTCCGCTTTCTTCCTTTTTTTCCCTCTTTTTTTCATATTTTTTACACCCTTATCTTCGCCCATTGTCCCTCTCTTTTGCTCCTTTCTTCTCCCTTGTTTTTCTTCACTTTTTTTCCCTCCCCAGTTCTACCCCACACCCTTCACCCACCCCGCCCTTGCCCACCCGCTTGATTGTCACATCCCCCCTTTCCCCCATTCTCCCATCCGCCCTTCCCCCCAACAGTGCACGGCGCAGCTCCCCCTTTCATGCACCCTCCATAATTGACCTCCCCCCCTCTTTCCCCCTTCCCACCCCCCCAATCAGTGCATGTCGCAGCTCCCCCTTTCATGGACCCTCGATAAAAAACCTCCCCCCCTCTTTCCCCCGTTTCCCACCCCCCCAATCAGTGCACGGCGCAGCGCCCCCTTTCATGCACCCTCACGCAGCCGCCGCCGTCGCAGCAGCAGCAGGGCACCACCCCCACCACCCCCCCCACATGCTCCACCACCCCTACTCCATGCTTCCCCCGGGCCAGCATCCCCCCCACATGGCCCCCCACGTCCCCCCAGGCGCGCCCATGCCTCCCCCCATGATGCCCGGCATGCTTCCCCCGCACATGCTCCCCTTTGGCCCGCACCCCCACCCCCACGCTCACCCCCACCCGCACGCCCACCCCCACTCTCACCCTGCTTCTGGTGCCGCTGGTGGTGGTGGCAGTGGTGGCGGTGGTGGCGGTGGTGGTGGTGGTGGGGGGAATGGTGGTGGGGGAGGGAGTGAGATGGCGGTGATAGGGGTTCCGTCCTCTGCTAATGCTCATGCTGCGGCCATGCAAGCCCACGCACATGGGATGGCCCATGCCCATGCCCATGCCCATGCCCATGCCATGACCCACATGGCCCATGCTTCAAATACCTTCGCTGCTGCTGGTGCTGCAGCAGGGAGGTTTGATGCAAAGGGGGAGATGGGGGCAGCAGGGGGGGCGGGGGCTGCAAGGGCAGAGGGCGGGGAGATGGGGGCTCTAGGCGCGGATGGTGCAGGCGCGGGGGGAGGAGAGGCTGTGGAGATGGGGGGATTTGCGGAAGGAGGGGTGGGGATGGGGGGAGAGGATGGAATGGGGGACATGGGGGGCATGGGGGGAATGGGGGGAATGGGGGGCATGGGGGGGACGGGGGGAATGGGCATGGGGGGGATGCTGAAGCTAGAGCCAGTGGAGGGTATGGAAGGGGAGGATGGGGAGAATCTGGATCTAGACGTGGGCATGGAGGAGGGGGGTGGGGAGGAGGCGTTGGGAGCAGGGGCAGGAGGAGGAGGGGGAGGAGGAGAGGGAGGGGGCGGAGGAGAAGAGGGGGCAGGAAGGGCGGGGGCGAGTGAGGATGATGATGACATGGCAGGGGTGGGCGGCGCTGCTGAGCTGGACAGCGACGGGAGTGACATGGCATTTCCGTTTGGTTCGGTTGATCTGTCAGGGATAGGCATGGGCATGGGTATGGGCATGGGCATGGGCATGGGCATGGGGCTGACGGCTTTAGATGTAGGGCCATTCTCGTCCTCTCTCGCTCTCACTTCGACCAATCACGAGGCGGCGTTTGGGTCTCGGGGAGAGGGGGATGGGGATGGTGGAGGGGAGGCAGGACACAACCAAGGATCACATCACCACCCCCATCACCACCCCCATCACCACCCCCATCCACATCATCCCCATCAGCAGGAGCATCAGCACCCCCACGAGCATCATGCTAGCATGGACACAGACCGATCTCACAGCCATCACCACCATAGCCATAGTAGCCACGGGCAGCAGCAGCAGCATCAGCATCATCAGCAGCACTCAACAGATGGCCATGGCCATGGGCATGGGGATTTAATCGCAGCCACTGATCGCCTTGACCCCACCAACCACAACGGCCATGGCCCGTCAAGCAGAGGGGCAGGGGTGCATGGGACAGGCACAGGGGCACAGGATAGTCCAGGCATGCATGACAGCACAGGCGCACACCAACCCTCTGCTGCTCTTCCCAGGGAAGTCGCCCTGGGGTTGCTGGGGCACCTTCCAAGAAACTTCAGCCTCTCTGACTTGACTGCAGACTTCCCCGGTCCTCAAAGTGAAGGTGAGGGGTGTGGGAGGTGGGGCGAGGGGGGTGGGGGTTGTGGGGTGGGGAGACTTTTGAGCCACCTCAAAAAATTTCCCTGGGCCTCAAAGCTAAGGTGAGGGGTGTGGGAGGTGGGGGGAGGGGAGCATGGGGAGTGGGGGAAGGGAAACATCAAGGAAGGGTGAAGGCAAGAAACGGAACACACACACGCACGCACGCACGCACGCACGCAAACACGAGCGTGAGCTGGGGGAATTGGGTGCATGCGGGAAGGTTGAGAGAGAGAGGAGAGAGAAGCCATGAGCACAAACATGCATGGCTGGCAGCACAGTCCACGTGTTTATCCGTTCCACTAGGGAATCAGCAACCCCAACCTGTGGCTCCCCATGCATCCCCTCCTGCCCCTCTTGCCCGCCCTCTCCTCCCCCAGGCGGCCACATGCTGGGGCTGCTGCCGGGCTCTCCACCTTTCATGAATGCCGACGATGCTGACATGCCAATCAGCCCCACCTATGCTTTCCCATGCCTCCACTCTTCCCCTCCTGCCCCTCCTTCCCTTCCTGCCCGCCCTCTTCTCCCCCAGGCGGCCACATGCTGGGGCTGCTGCCGGGCTCTCCACCTTTCATGAACGCCATGCCGGCAATGCTGACCCTGTGCTAAAGTTCCCCATGCTTCCACCCCTTCCCCTATTATCCCTCCTGCCCATCCTGCCCCTCCTGCACTCCCTCCCCTCCCCCAGGCGGCCACATGCTGGGCTTGCTGCCAGGCTCACCGCCCTTCATGAATGCAGACGACGCAGACTTTCTCAGACCACCCGACAAAGGTGCGTGCAGGCAGGGCTGTTGGTGTTACGAGTGTGCCTCGTGGGGGCGGATGGTGTAGCGTAGGTGCACCTTGGGAGGGCTGCTACCAGGCTCACCACCCTTTATGAATGCGGATGATGCAGACTTTCTCAGACCACCCGACAAAGGTGCGTTCAGGGAGGGCTGTAGGTGTTAAGAGAGAGCTTAGTGAGGGCTGCTGGTCTAGGTGCATCTGGGGAGAAGTCCTGGCTGTTTTCCAATTGTGAGAGGAGCTGGCTGTTGTTACCGGTAAGCTTTTCAGCTCTAAGTGGTGGGCAGCAGACTAGTGCATTTGGTGAGGGCAGTGCGAGGAGACTGGGATGCCTTTTTAAGTCGACTCAAGATCACACACACATGGAGAGAAGCTACTCCCTCCCCCCCTTTCTCCACCCCCTGTCATGCGTACCCTTGTCACTTCGCCAACTTGACCCATGTCCCTGTGCCTCTATGTTTCCATGCATACATGCATCCATGCATCCATGCTTCCATGCATACATGGCCTTTTGAGGCGCCTCAAAAGTCACCCCTTGTCATCATGCCTACCCTTGTCCCTTCACCAGCTTGCTCCGCGTCCCTGTGCCTACATGCTTCCATGCCCCTGTGACCCCATCCCCTCATGGCCTCATGCCCTATGGCCCTCATACAGCAGATGCGCACGTGAAGCTTGAGGGATCTGTTTGACCGACTCTGGTTGACTCTGGTTGACTCCGGTTGACTCTAGTTGATTTGGGTGTTGACCTGCGAGAGTTTGCCCTGGTTGACCCGCCAGTTGACTCTAGTTGATTATGCAGCAACAGCCACAGCTGGGGACGGAGATGTTCTGCTTCTCGAGGGAAGTTTGAAGGCGCTTAAAGCTTTGCAGTAGACAACCTATCCCTGTCACGGAGGGCTTTAAGGGCACCTTGAACAATGCAACAGGCAGTGATCCGAAGCTTTGCCTATCAGGGAGGGTGGGCGGATAAGGGAAGCAAGCAGCTAACAAGTGCTTGTTGTACCGGTAACTGCGAGCACCATTGAGGGGGGCAGTGCTTGCTGCACTGCTGAGATAGGGTCGGGCACGCCGCACGTCCTTGTATCGTGGAACATCATGAACGGATCCAATCCACCCGCATAACATACGTATTTTATATCGTTATATATCATGCTGCAAGCTCTGCGGGAGTAGGTACGGTACGGTTCATCATGGCCGAACAGGTCACTCACAGGAACATGGCATTTTTCGCTGCTGTACGGTAGCAGTGGGTGGGCTTATGCAACCAGCAGTGCTGCTGACTTGAGGTGAGGGTGGGTCAAGCTTCAGCTTCAGGTGAGGGAGGGAAGTGATGCAGATGTTGCTCAAGGCGGTTCATGGTTCAATCAACATCTGTTGGACTAGAGACTAGGGAGGAAGTCAAAAAGCCTGTTGATTCTAATAGGGTACAAGCCCAAGATTGCACAGAAGCACTCAACAGCAAAAACATTCAATATATTATGTTTGGCAGACAAAAATGCTATGGTACCTTCCATTCCACCCTCATTTCATTCCTGGGCGGACCATTTTGAGAAGCTTCCACCTCCTGTACAGCAGGGCCAGACTACAGCCACACCAATAGATCTGGGCCTTAGCTTTACCCAGAATTACCACTGGGTGCTTACCCTCCTCTGACCCTTCTACCCATAGTAAATTAATCCCTACACCCAAAGTATCAATTCCTTCCACCGCAACATTTTTCCAAAACCCATCACTGGCACTCTTCTAACCACCCAACCCTTAGGTAACTAGTGACTAGTCTATACACACGAGATCAAGATAACGCTAGATCTTGAGCAAGGAGCTGCTTCCCTCCAGCATGTTCCGTGCATTCCGCGCCAAAACCGAGGGAACCAGAGCAGTTTTCAGCCTTGCCCGCCAGGGTATCGGCCCCTTCCTCCCTTCTCCCTTCTCGGACCCAATCTCCACTCACCATTCCCTACCCCTCTCCACCGTCCATTCCATCCCAGTAATTTCCATGCCCACTCTCGGCCTTCGCCTCCCATCTTCTCCTTTTGCTCGCCTATTGGGCACAGCAAATCCCTGAAAAGGCAACAGGGGCGGCAGAAGCAGGGGTGGCAGCAGGAGCGGCAGATGCAGAAGCAGCAACAGGGGTGGTAGCAGCAGCATGGGCAAAGATACTGCCAGTGAATCCAGGCATGGGGGAGAGGCACACGCCAGGCGGCAGGCCCAAGTCAAACGAGTCAAACTCCTCTGGCGACAGACACATGGCCGCATCCAACCTCACGTCCTCCTCCCCCACGTCCTCCCCTAGATCCCTCCTCACATCATTCCCCATCTCCTCCCCTCCCAATCGAATATTTTCGTCCATTTCTAGTGTGAGCCCATCCAGAGCGCCTGAGGGAAGGGGGACTGTGCCTGGGAGAGGAGGGGAAACCAGCGCCATGGGAACCAGTTCGCCTGCTGCTGCTGCGCCGCTGCCCACCCCCGCGGATCCTAGACCCTCGCATCTGCTCATCGCGCCTCCTAGCCGCTGCGAATCTGAGCCGTCCATGACGGAGTGGAGCGCCAGGTGGCTGTCGCTGAGTGGTTGAGGGAGATGGTCGAACGCGGTGAGATCGGCTGCAGCGGTTGAGGCAGGTGGGGTGGGGCGAGTGGGGAAACTGAAATGGGCTGCTGCCGAGCTGCTGCTGTGGTGGTTCGCGTTATAGCTGCTGCTGTTGCCGCTGTTGCTACTGTAGCCGTAACTGTAGTTGCTCGAGTTGGTGTTGTTACCGGGTGTGCTTGTACCGAAGCTGAAGCTTCCAAAGGCGGTGCTGGACGGAGTGAGCGGGATGAATTTCGGACTGGGCAGTACCGGAAGGGCTGCTGACGTGTCCATATCCAGGTCATCAGCCCAAGGGCAGTTCAGATCGGAGCTGTCCCATAAACTGCATTAAGAGGAGAATTGGGGGAGAGGGGTAAACAGCAAGGAAATTGTTAGTCGTGCAAAATGATACAAGTCATAAAAGCCTCGCAACTGAGGTGTACGGGCGTATCTGACTCGAGCTGGGTATACACACTTGTACTGAATATATTGTTATGTTTCGGGTGTACCACTTTACGCTTGCTTCCAACGTGTGGATAGCTTCTAGGCATAAATTAGCGTTATTTTCTTTGCTATATAAGGCGCCTACCAGTTACGGAGCATGAAGGGGCTCGCCAAAACAGCTCCGCCAATCGCCGGTACCGCTGGTGCGAACGGAACTTCCGCCCGAGCCTCTCCCTCGTCCGCGGAAGCGGAACACGGAATGATAAGCGTCGGAGGCGGAACCTTGAACGAAAGGGACTTCGCGACAGCTCCTGCTGGCGAAAGCGAGTTCGAGACTTGAGCGTTCTGCGAAACCGTCATGTGAACCGTCGATGCCGAAACTAGCGAATCGTTTTTGTCATCTGCCCCACTCTTTTCAACCTTGATTCCTCCCGCGCGCACGGACAAACCCAAATCCGGGTCTACTTCCGTTGCCGTTACCCGAGTACGAGCGCCGATTTGCGAAACGATTACGCTTGTCGGCGAGCCAGCTTCGGTTTCGCCATCGTGCTCGACTAGGCTCGGACCGTCGCTATCACCCTCCTCGTCCTCGTCACTGCTGCTGCAGCTGCTGCTGTGGAAGCCCATTCCGCGCTGAGCTTGCGCAGACGCGCTCCCAACTTGAAGAAGAGCAAGATCCGCTTTCACCTCATCAGCGGTACTGACGATCTCGGCCGCGAAAGCAGTTGGCGGGCAAAGCGGCGCTTGCGCTTGCGCGTGCGGCGGGGGAATGGCGCAAGCGGGAACTGCTGCGGTTGCGGAAGGCTCGAGGCACTGTTTCTTCGAAGGCGGGAGCGGATAGGCCGATGCCATAGGCATAGTTGTTGCGGGCAGTGGACGTTTGATTGCATGGAGAGCAATCCCTGGTGACGCAAGACGGCATTAAGAGATAAGACGGCATTAATAACGCAGCACCGACTAAAAGGGAAGTGTGATGGTTTTAAAATAAATAAAGCATGTTTCTGATCCCGATCGATCGTTTTGCAAACAGAAAGAGGCCTCAGGTCGCGGCTTACCATCTGCCAAGCGCGTGGCTAGCGGGAAGTGCGTCTCGGGATCGATCCCCGACTCGCGCAGCTTCTTCTTTATTCTCGTGTTCCAGTGGTTTTTTATGTCGTTGTCCGTACGTCCGGGCAGCTCTAGGGCGATCTTGGCCCATCGATTGCCCATCTCCTTGTGCAGCCGCACGATCAGCGCCTCCTCCTCTGCCGAAAACGCGCCGCGTTTCAAGTCGGGACGGAGGTAGTTGGCCCATCGGAGGCGACAACTCTTCCCGCAACGGATCAACCCTGCGATAGCGCAAGCGCACGAATCAGAATCGAAACAATTGTGAGATATGGTTATAGGAGCGCGTAATGTAATGCGGAAACGCGCATGCCGCTATCTCAACGTGCGAATTGAACGAGAATGTGGTTGAAATCGGAAGCCAAAAGGAACCCCAAGCGCAGCCGGCTCACCAGCTTTCTTGGGGATTGCGCTCCAGTTCCCCTCGCCATGCTCCTTGATAGCTTTCACGAGCAACTCGTCCTCTTCTCGCGTCCACGGCCCCTTTCGAACCTCCGCCTTTTCGCAGCACGGCGTTCTCGTCATCGTAATTCGGGACGCCTACGTCTGCGACTAGATCACTAATTGCGTTTGGACGACTCGAGTATTATTAGAAAGGGCGCTACTTGAGTAAAGGCCTAGATCCTGTGACAAAAAGCTGGGTTAGCAAGCTAGCTGTAACTGGAACGTGAAAAGTGCTTTTGTAAAAGGCTGGAATACAAAAGAGCGTCTGAAGTTTACTTCTGAATGTGCTTGCTGGTCAAAGGGGGCAAGGCACCTAAGGGAAAATAATGGAATGCGAAACTGACTATATCCGGAAGTGTGAAGTCCAAAAGCACATTTGGGCTGTATTGCAACGCTGCTAAAAGCTCTGCCAGTGATGGGTCTCCACGTTGATGATAACACGGCAGAGATGTGGGGCGCAGGAATCAGATCAAAAGTCAGAGGCAGAAAGCAGGGGCAGACGCATCAGGTCAGGTGAGGCTGGAAGGGCAAGAAAAACCGTAGGGCAGGGCAGCGAAGAGTTGCTTCCAGCAGTGCAGCATCTGATTGGGTCATCGGGAAACCGAACGAATCAGATGTCGCCGCGCAAAAAAGGAACGTGGGCAGCCTGGTCTCGTTTCGGGTTGGACCATTTCGCTAAGGGCACATCAGGGGAGATGCAGTTCAACGCTTGAAACCTTTCTTTTGATAATCGTTGACGGGCACGAAAACGGAAATGCGATTCGACCGTGGACAGCTGCCTGATTCCTCCTGAAGCAGCCAGGGCGCCCATCGTGGCGAGGCGAGATCAACCAACAAGCAGCAAGACGTCATGATGACAGCGAAGCATCAAGGAAATACAAGAACGACCTGTGCGTCCGAAAACAGAAACGTGCACCCACCAGCAAGTCTAATTATCTCTGCCCGTTTTTCATTTAAAGCAGAAAAATCATATATTCCCGACTTCCAGACGGGGATAATCAGCAAAACATAATTATTTCTTTGTGAAATCAGCCAATTTGAGCGATCCAATAAGTTTTTATATGCGAGGTATTTTACAAACTAAATAGGGAGAAATAGTTGTTGAACTCATGAAGGGTTGATGGGAGCACGTTAGGCGAAGATGTGCAGCTGCGACATCAGCGTGCTGAAGCGTATGCAGCGTCACCACATTTCGTTTGCGGCGCTTCATCTTCGCTCAACGAGCTCCCTTGGAGGTACGAAGTGTCGCAAGCAACCGTCGCACTCGTGACAAGCTAACAGATTGTTATCGGCCATGTGCGCTGGTAACCACTTCAAGGCACTGTTCCAGTCAGGTTGCAACGTGGGGGATGAGGTCTGTGTGGCTCACCTTTGGCTCAATAAATTCAGTACAGTGCCAGCGAGGTTCAGTGGTCAACTGTTGGACTGATTGATTCGGCACGATTGTGCTCCAACCGCGTGGAGTATCCACTGAAATCTATTACACTGCTGATGCTGTTAAAAAGGGAGAAAAAAACACACCACACCATTGAATTCTGAACTGGAAAAGTGCTGTTAGTGCTTACGTGCAGGGTGTCATTCCACTAGGTAGAGTTCTCATGTCTGTGGGAAAAACAAAACCAGCACGCTTCAAAAAATACCTCTTTTTATGTTAAAAGACAATTTATACCCCCACCGAATGACAGTGGAAGAAGCAGACTTCAACACGATGTCCCAGCTGGATTCACAATGTATGACCAGTACGATTCGCGCGGCACGTGAACAGTCCGGCAAGCATCGCGGTCGCACAGCCTCGTGTTTCGTTGTGTCGTCTCGCGTTGTGTCGTCGAGAATTTCGCTAGATCTTTCGAATGCAACGCAGGCACCCCCCCAGCAAGCTTTTCATGTGTCCGCCCAGGTGGGTTCAGGCAGTGCCCATCTGATGGAGTCGTGATTCAGGTGTCGTCCAATTGTACTATACGTCTATCGTCAAGACGTTTTGTAGCGACCAGCACACCCAATATGGTAAACCCGAAAGTAGCTTTCCAGCTTGGTATTTGGTGTACAAGAACGCACGGACAAAAGCATAGCGAGATTGTGATTTCAATTTTTTTTTTTGTGAAAGCTTACACCATACAGTACAAGCAAAACACTTCAGTCGTAACTGATGAACTGGGATCAGGCTGACGAAATTTCGCCTGGCCCTCCCCGCAGCTTTACGGTGGCTTCACAAAGGTCCTCGGGTTCGACCAGATAGACTGAAAATCACCTTGCCACTTCAACCCCACTACCTCGCTGACGCATATCCGCCGCATGACACGTGCCTCATCCTCCGCCAAGTTCCACCTCGCCTTATCCTTCCTCGCCTGCTTGCTCGGTTTGCCACAGTAGATTCTCGCATGTTTGTTGAACTCGACATTAATCCTCATGAGCACCTTACGTGCCTGGAACCTCTTCCCCTTACGAAGCGACACATCACACCTTCCCAACCAAACCTGGTGCATCGCCACCGCCACCATTGTAGCCTCGGGGAAACCGGACTTCGTTTCCTCTTCCCCAAACACAAAATCTGCCAACCTGTCAACCCGCCTTGCTGGCTGCATCATGCTGAGCGCCGATTTGACAGCACGGGTCACTGATGCCACACTCCTGCATTCCAGCAAACAATGTTCCAACGTCTCCTCCAGCCCGCAGTTCGGGCATGCCACCCCCCCTTTCACAAACGAAACCCTCTCCCCCACTTGCAAGTTGAGGTTGTGCACGCGGAGGAGCACATCTCTCGCCTTGGCCGGAACCACCAAAGAATCCCGGACCCTCCTGCTCCTCTCCCAGTCAATTTTCCTGCCCGCCCGGGCCTCCCAGCTCAACCTCTTCCCTTCCACCGCCTCTATCCCCTTGCTTGGCTCTCTGAGTTCCCTCACTGGAACCACCACCTCTTCTTTGAATAGCGATGAGCTGAGCAACCGAGCCCTTGGATCCCCGGCCTCCCGTATCGCCTGCTCACGGGATAACCTCGCCGGCACCACACTGTCGCAGCACAGCACCAGCCTTACATCCCACGACGTGCGCTCTCCTTTGCCACTGAGCCCCCGAAGCTCCACCTTTTTGCCCATCTTGCCGCAGATTTCCCAGAGACACCTTTGTCCGCTTGGAAGCCTGGTACACACCACCGATGATTCTGCCGCGACTTCCTCCGCCGTCAGAGGCGCCAACAGCCACTGTCGCCACCGCTCTGGTGCCGCGTTGAACGCCTTCAGCGCCATCTCCGCCTCTTTGTTCCCGCCCAACTCCCTTGCCAGTGTCACCTCCGACTTAAGCGTCCTTGTGCCATCCCATTTCCTCTGCACCATGTCGCGCATTCGCAACTTTCTCAGCTTCTCCGTACCCTTCTTCCCACCGAACGGGGCGTCACCGCGGTGAATGATGTGCCTATTATAGCACAGAAACTCCTCTTATGCATCCCACCTAGACGCCGCCCCTGGTACTGCCACCACCGTTGACTTTAACAAAGTCTTACACAGCCTTGCCCACCTCCTGCTTTTAAACAAGCCTCCTCACAGTACCGCCTTATGTGCATACAGCGTCGCCCACCCAAGAGGTAGGCCTGCCGCTTTCTCCGACAAACCTCTTCTTAGTGAGCATTCCTGCTGCAGCGCCATACCCGCGCACCTCATCGCCACACTATCGATTCTCCCCCTCGGATCTATCACCCCCAGTCCCCCTTGCTCCCTTGGCGTGTATATCAGATCCCCGCTCCAGAGCCTGAAGTGCCGCTCTGTGTCTGCATGATTGTCGGACACAAAGTTTTCAATCAACTTCTCCACCCTACGCCACAGCAGGTCGTCCGGCGGGTACACCTGCGCTTGAAAGAGGAAGATCGGCAGGACGTAGCTGTTGATGATGGTCACCCGAGCTCCTGTCGTGAGATACTTGTTGCTCCACTTGCTCAGTTCTCCTGCCGCTCTGTCAAAGGCCTTTTCCCACGTTGCCTCCGCGTCCCCCCCGGGGGAGATCCACACTCCAAGAAGCCTTTCAACCTCGTTTGCCCCCACCCACTTGTACTCCGTATCCCCTGGTGCCTGTTGTCCCACATTCCTCCCTAACGGCAGGACCGCAGACTTCCCCTTGTTCACTTTCAGCCCCGACACCTCCGCGTACTCTTGCAGCAGCACGCCCGCATCCTTCAATTGCTGCTCTCCCTCCAGCAGCAAGGTCGTGTCATCCGCGTACCCCACATATGACAGCCTATCGCAGTTACCTTCCCCGATTCCCAACTTCCTTTCCTCTGCTAACCGGCTCAGTGGCTCCACCGCGCACAAGAAAAG